GTCCATAAGTGTACTTGATGCTTAGATATGAATATGTGCACGTATTTTTCAGCCCAATTTATGTCATTTATTCATTCAGATACGTCGTCGTCGTCGTCACCGTCATCGTCATCTTCGCAAAATTTTGTCCCCTTTTACTGCACCTTTTTTCAACACTTTCTACAATTTTTCTGAACTTTATCTACACCTCTTCTGTACTTTTTTTACACTTTTTTCCTGCACTTTTTCTGCACTTTTTCTACACTTTTTCTACACCTTTTCTGCACTTTTTCGATACCTTTTCTACACTTTTTCCGCATCTTTTCTGAACTTTTGCTGTACCTCTTCTGCACTTTTTCCGCATTTCTTTCGCATCCTTCTGGCATCTCTTCCACATCTTTCATGTACCTTTTCTGTACTTTTTCTACAACAGTACCACATTCCTCTCACATTTCTCCCGTATTAATTTCGCATTTCTTTTGCATCTCTTCGCATCTGAGTCTTACCGTTTCCGCAACCCTTTTGCATTTTTTCCGCATCTTTTCTGAACTTTTATCTCTCTCGTATCCTTCTGGGATCTCTTGCACATCTTTCATGTACCTTTTTTGCACTTTTTCTACAACAGTACCAGATCTCTGTCACACCTCTCCCGCATTAATTTTGCATTTCTTCTGCACCTCTCCGCATCTGAATCGTACCGTTTCTGCAACTTCTTTGCACCTATTCCGCATCTTTTCTGAGTTTTTACTGTACCTCTTCTGCATTTTTTCCGCATCTCTCTCGCATCCTTCTGGCATCTCTTCCACATCTTTCATGTATCTTTTCTGCACTTTTTCTACAACAGTATCACCTCTCTCACACCTCTTCCGTATTAATTTCGCCTTTCTTCTGCACCTCTCCACATCTGAGTCGTACCGTTTTCGCAACTCCTTTACACCTTTTCTGCATCTTTTCTGAACTTTTATCTCTCTCGTATCCTTCTGGGATCTCTTGCACATCTTTCATGTACCTTTTTTGCACTTTTTCTACAACAGTACCAGATCTCTGTCACACCTCTCCCGCATTAATTTTGCATTTCTTCTGCACCTCTCCGCATCTAAATCGTACCGTTTCCGTAACTCCTTTACACTTTTTTCGCATCTTTTCTGAACTTTTGCTGTACCTCTTCTGCACTTTTTCCGCATTTTTGTCGCATGCTTCTGGCATCTCTTCCACATCTTTCATGTTCCTTTTCTGTACTTTTTCTACAACAGTACCACATCTCTCTCACACCTCTTCCGTATTAATTTCGCATTCTTCTGCAATTCTCCGCATCTAAGTCTTACCGTTTCCGCAACTCTCTTGCACCTTTTTCGCATCTTTTTCACATCACTTATACATTTCTTTTACATCTCTTCCACATTTGTTCTGCACTTCTTCGCATCGGTTCTACATATCTTTCCCAATTCTTCTACATTTCATCTATCTATATACATTATTTTATTTATTTACATATTTATTTATATACCTATATTATCTATTCACCTATCGATGTTATCTATTCATCTTCCAATGTTTCACTCATTCATCTATTTCCGTTTTTATTTAGTTAATATGTAAAAATATATGTATAAACATACATAAACATGCATAAATATTCATAATCATAAATAATTATGCATGAAATGTGTCCATACATCTTTTTTTCTTTTGTAAAATAATAATATTGAGAAAACATCAAAAATAGTTAATGGGACTATTTTCGCAATGTTTATTTTAGAAAAAATCAAATTTGGAAAAATATACAAAAATTTGCTTATA